GACGTTGCAAGTGTACTTCGGAGTCGTTCGATCTCTTCGAAGTCGTACCGACATGGGTTGTCGGACCTCTTGAGATGACTCTCCAAGTGTTCAATGCGGCGCTGTTGCGCAGCTATGCCATTGTTGGCCTCAGCTAGTTCCTTCTCCCATCGCTTCCGTTCGAGCTTATGGGTGTCCTCCGATCGCGACATCTGATTTTCCGTGGAGTTAACGATTTGGTCGGCCAGGACGATTTGTGTTATCAAATCCTGGCATCGTTTCCGGAGTCGATCGATGTCTTCGATCTTTTCTGGAGGTGTGGATGCAATCCACTTCCGTGCCGTGTACTCAAGCGTGCTTGCTTGGTACCTGTGGTTACCCAAGTGGGGTGCCACTGGCGTTCGGAAGAATCCATCCCTACTGCTGGGACGTGACACTTGTGTCGTGTCGAATACGTCGTCCGTGGGTGGTGGAGTTCCACTACCCGAGTCGCCAAGTTCGAACATAAGTGGCGACCTCTTCTTTAGGTCGACAGGTCGACTTGTTGGCGACTTCACCTCCGGTTGAGTTTCTGTTGCTCGGGTCGACCTGCCTTCCGTTGGCGAAGGTCGACTTAGCGGTGAAATAGCCTTTTCGTTAGGCATCGGTATGTTGGTTGGTGATCCAGCCGGGTGAGGTCCGCTTCGTGGCGGGGCCTCAGTTTCTCCCGTTTTGGCCGGTAGTTTAGGCCACTGGATGTCCATATCCGACCTTGTATCGACTGGCTTCTTTTCCAGGGAGGTCGGTTGTACTTGACCGACTTGCTGTTGTCCGACCTTTGAGGTCGGTGGAAGTTGCCCGACCTCAGTTCCGACTTGTGTTGTCGAACGAGGTCCGACCTGGTCGGTGGACTTCCATCCTTCTTGGTCGGCGAAATCCTCCCGACTTCTGTTGTCGGTTGGACTTGGCCAACTTCCTTGGTTGGTGATTGCTGTAGTCTTCCGACCTCAATTCCGACTTGTGTTGTCAGATGAGGTCCGACCTCCGGTTGAGGGTAACCGACCTCCGAGGTCGGTTTCCGTTGACCGTCCTTAGAGGTTGGTGAAGCCCTACTGACTTCTGTGGTCGGTCGGACTTGACCGATTTCCGTTATCGGTTGCTTCTCTCCGACCTTCGAGGTCGGTGAAGTCGCTCTACCCGCGTTGGGCGAGGTCGGCCTTTTCACGTCATCCGTCTGGTTGGGTGATGTGTCCGGCGTCGGTGACTTTCGTAGTTGTTACCGACTCCTGAGCTTTCTGTGAGCTCAGTTGAAGTCCTTCTGTTAAGTCCGTAGAGGTCGGTTCACCATGTGGGTGTTCCGCCTCGGCATGAGACAATGTGGTCTCAGCCTGCAGCTTCTCCAGTTCCCCCCGGTCGGGTGGGACGGGGCTGCTAAGTCAGCTCTGGGGGCTCAAGGAACGTCTTGTCGTGAGCGTCCTCGAAGCTGTCGTCCGACGTTGGGTTGGAATCGGCGAGGAGGATCCGCTCGTTGCGCTTCTCCCTTGCCTCCGCCGACTTCGTCGAGTCTGTTGATGATGGCTGACTTTAATCCTGACCGGAGTGCCGTAGTGCATACGGCGCGTTGAGGTCAGGCGCCGCGAATAGTCCGTGTTGAACTTTCGGGCGTATTCGTTTTCCTTCGGGTTCGACATTGTTGTCGGGTCAGGTCGGTTCAAGTGGAACCAACGAGAGACTTGTACTGTTGTACAGTAAATTGAACAATCCCTTATGTGGGGATGTTCAATGAAATCAGGAACGTCTTTGGGTTCAGGAACTTCCGAGGGTCAGGATGGTCCGACTTGTTGTTGTTGTTGTTGTGTTGATGTGTCTGTGTATGACTCAGTACACAACGTTACGATACAGTACTATGGTACAGTACAGTATGATAAGGTACTACAGTAGAGTACGTCCTATACTACTGTGCTGACCAGTATGACGTCACAGGGCTAAGTGGTCTTGCACTTCACTGCCTACGTCACAGAATGCGAGCCGCGTGCAAAATTTAAAAAATGATGATTCACGCCTATGTTAAGCGTATGGGAAGTTTCCCCTGCACGCTGATTGGCTAGCCTCAAAGTACTGAAAATCGGGCGTTCTGACGTCACAAGGAAATTCAAGAATTTTCACGCTTATTTTCGCGGAAAAACAAGAATATTTTTAGGTCGATCAGAGATGTTTTCTGGTCGAAATTTTAATTTTTAACCGTTAGAAATAATTTCTAGGTTCTTTAGAAATTTTTCTGACAGTGAAAAGTCCGTCGAATCAACAAAGAAAGAGTATGACCGACCTGTGGTCAGTTACACAGAGTGGTCCGTTAGGTCGGTAAAGTAACTTTTTTAGGTCGGTTTCTCCGACAAAATTAAGTTTTACCGTAGAAAAATTATTTCTAGTTCTTAGAAATAAATTTCAGCCGTTAGAATTAAAAGTTATAGCTAGAATCGACCTGTGTCGACCTGTAACCGGGACTTTACCGTATGTTACTGTAGAGTCCGTGGAGGTCGGTGATCCGCCGTTGGGAGGTCGATTTCCGTTAGAGTTGCGGGTCGCCGTTCAAGGCGAAGGTCCCCGATTGTTGAGAGGCTCCTTCTGGGCGCTGCAGGCTACTGTCCGAGCCTGATCCGTCAGTTGGGATTGGGGAAGTTCCCGTTCGTCCGTCTGGGGCAGTCAGCCGAAGTGCTCTCCTTATGTGGAAGAGCCAAAGATAGGGCAAGCGAAGGTGGCAGGGATCGCTTTTGCGATCAACCTGTTGCTACCACAGTCGCTAGACAGCAAAGACCAGGTTGAAGCAGAGGCTGCGTTCGCAGTCAATCTGACTTTCAACCACGGGTTCTCCAGTTCTCCGCGAAATTATGCCTTTACCGTCTCCTCAAAGGATCCGGTAGAACGAAAACCAGACGATCTGCTTACCATGTGACAGGCAAGCACAGAGAGCTCACAGATGACTTTATTGTACAAATAAAGTGGAGCAAATGCCGCGTGAATGCGGGAAAAACACAACAAAGGCCAGTGTCTGGCAGAAATCAGCAAGTCAAGTTGCTGCGAGCTAGTTCTAGAGCGTAATGAAATGTAGAGAAAGAAATGTGCTGGCGGCAACGGCGTCACGCTGTCCAGACACATGGAATGTGAGTGCGCAGACTGGACTCGTATCCAACGCGAGCGAATATACGCTGAGTCATACAGCGAGAGAGAGGAGCGAGAGAGCAAGTATGCTCAGTGAGTGCGCCCGCGGTGTATCCGCATAGGCGGAGAGTGCAGTGCAGCCACTCACGTACGTACAAGAGAGGGCGAATCAGCATGTGTGCAGTGATACGCATACGCAAAGTGGCGTATCTATCACGCAGGCTGTCGTGCCTCTAACAGACCAATAGTTGCTTTCCCAAGACTGCACAGTTTTAATTCATTGTTTCAGCGGGATGTGCGGATGCACTATCGCTGATCGTAAAATTTTATGCTCATGTTTTGAGTTTTTCTACAGATGTAAACATTTTCGCAATCGGCCCTGTCTGGAGTGACCTTTGGTTAGAGAGACCTTCCAGGTTATCCGTTTGAGAATTATACTCCCATGAAACGCAAACAAACTGGCTAATTAAATCTATTCAATTACATATTCTTCCATTTTTATCCGGAGGCAGGCTCAGTTAACTTGTAACTTGTAAGTAAAACATGATTTGGCAAAAGGGCATCACTGGAACCAAAAGCTGTCATGTAGAATGTCGTTAAGATTTACCGGTAAATATTTATTATTTATTTACATAATATTGCAGATCACATTAGAGAAACAAGATACGAACAAAAACGCTTGTGCCAGAACGCAGAGTATCGTAGAAGCAAGGGTTACACGTCAAAGCAGGGCCAATTTGCTTTGTTGGACGGGTACATAAAAACACATTCGTGACAATTCCCCCGTAGAGGAATTGAATACGTAGGCGGTGGTTATATCATTATTACATAATAAAAATATGCAGTGAAAAATTTGAAAAAAAAGCTAAATTTGACCGTCTCACCGAATTTCTTTTGCACGACTGCAGTATTTTACAAAGTAAGCCTAAATAGATCGAAAAAGTGCACCCATACCACCGGACCATCGCTTCCAGTGTTCCCTTTCATTATGGCTACACCGGTGACATGGGTGCAGTTTTTCGATCTATTTGGGCTTCCTTTGAAAAACACTGCAGTCGTTCAAAAGAAATTCGGTGTGGATACTGGATACTGAAGAGGAAAATACACATTTCACTGATGCCAGTTAAATCGGAACCATGCGTTCTTCTGCGTACGAGTTGTCTAGTTCCAACGTGAATTTTTTAGGGTAGAATTTCGGAAATGTATAGCAATACGTTATTGATATCTAGCAATCCGTTATTTTGACATGCACTGTTCATCCTGGACAGTGGACACAGCATTCTTGTCCTGGGAAACGAGCAATTAAGTGTTCCAGTTCAATAATTTTTTTCTGAGCGCAGATAGTATGGAGAGTGAGGTGAGTCATCCGCTAATACTGTCGCAGGACAATAAGAATGCAAGCCTGCTGCCCTACGTGTATGATTGTTGGTGGAATACCGACCGTCTAGCTTTGCGATACATGTACTGATGTACAGCATCTCTTCACTACTCAAATGGGAATCCGACAGAGAATCGGCAACTGAACAGACAGGATTGAGGCTAACCTTTAGTGTCCTTTGCTTTCCATCTTTTCCCCGTTAGAGGATAGACAGACGCAAAAGCTCAAAACAGACAGAATCATTCTGACCTTTCACTTAGAGAGTTCTGACCTTTCAGTTACACGCTGGATCCTATACTAATATAATATATACAAGACAGACTACGTCTGCCATATGTTATATTAGGCTTGCCCGTTTCAACCGTGCAGCGCCTACGTAAAATATCTGCAATATTGCACAAACTGCAAGGTACAGAATATAGAACAGGGAGGCATATAGTTTTGTCTTTGACCCATCAATACGAATACTGTGGTTGACACTATCCCATGCAAAGAGCAGAAACGGTGCACCATATTTATTTAATTATACTATGTCCATTTTTATTTATCCCCGAATCCCCAAGGATCGTTTCAAATATATAAATAGTTTTGACAAGCGTTTGGATTCCGAACATTGCAGTTGTAACCGAAGGACCAAATTTAACGCTTTTGGTAGAAGACCAAATCAGATTGATAAACAGCTAGCTGTATTAGCAACATATAATTTATATGAGAAGCCGAATTTAAGGGAAGTCGAATTTAAGTTGTGTACCGAAAAACGGGAAATGTACCGACGGCAGTACATGGACATATGTTGAACGCATGCCAGCGTCTACTCGTAGGCTATTAGGGAATCCGTCGCTATTATGCACTAATAATACTGCAATTGCTTTAGCAAAAAAGAACCAATTTGAACAGTTGCATGGGACCATATATAAATGTAGCTACAGAAAGGTCAACGCTGTTAATTGCTACTTTGATAAAGATAAAACGACTAATTTTCAGCCCGAGTAAGCTAGCAGCAACACTGCTACAGAAAAGGGAAGATAAAGCTTTTGGGCTTTGCATATTTTGAAATTTAATATTAGGGAAAAACGCAATAAAAATTACGCTATTAATATCGCATATAATATCAAGCTTTATTTTCCAAGATACCATACGCCTCCGCCGCCACGTTTTCGCCCCAGATACCACGGTCCTGTTCGACCTCTCTTGGACATGCCATCGTTTTCCGCATAATCGGCTGCGGGAAACTCGTTGATTCCGCTTCGCTTCCCTAAATACCACGGTGCGCTCTTCGTAGCTCTTTTTCCCAAATACCGATTCGTCCCCGACCATATGATTGGGGTTGAACGCTTTGGATGGCTAGTGCCCACTGTCTTGTCTTTTTGTGACTGTAGTATCCACAGTCCCCCAAATGAATCTCTCTTCATCCTGACCTTTTCTTCATCCCGCTGTAGTGTATTATTGCTATCGTCGAAATCAACTGAACGCTTGCCTAAATACCAGTTGCCAGTATTGGCTAATTCACGATCGTTGTCCGAGGCGCGCCGCGACATGAGGCGCTGGTTGGTGGCGTCCGGGTTTAACACAAAACCGCCAAGTGGTGATCCAGCCGGGCGCCATCCTCGGATTCTGGACGGGTCCACTACGACCGGCAGTCGTCGTGTAAAAGGCGGGATGCTAAACCACGATGTTATGCCGGCAGCGCGCTTGCCAATCCGCAAGTATTGTGGAATATTTCCGCCTTCGGGAAATACATTGCCGGAATTCCCGTTTGCCGGAATTGCCGGAATTCCCATTGCCGGAATTCCCGGAATGCCGGAATTCCCGTCATCGGAATTCCCGTTTGTAACTATGATGGGAGGCGAATCGGCCAACACAACGGTTTCGTCCGGAAAAGCCGTTTCGTCTACCGAAGCATCTATAAGACGAGAGCTTTGACTGAGCCACATACAGTAGCTACTGTTAAAGGTCTTGCATTGGAATTATTGTTTAAATGGTTATCCATTATCTTATGTGTTTAGTCATTATTGTACTCGTATTCAGAACCAGTCATATGTAATCATATGCATAACCGTTAACGTAATTATCTGATTAAAATTATAGGACATACAAATAAGGTTATAGGTCATACAAACGTCATAATTTTACAGGGGGCACCTTACTTCAGTTGTTGTTATATAAATGGCGGCCTAATTATGCAATTAAAATTATGCGCATCCTTATACGGTAGGTAATACAATAATTATGTGTTGTCACAAATGCACAATTAATACAAATCTGTCATTAAGTGTATATGACACTTACCGTTTGGAACATCGGCGACAACCTTCGTTGCAAACAAAAGCGGTAGAATGCAGAGTAAAGCCGCAAAGGTCACCGCTCCCCGTTGTCGAAAATCCTGTTCGCGGTGCATATTTCAGATATACAACCACGATACAATCTACCGAATAGTGTACTACCAGTTCTATCACTGCTAGGACGCACTGATCAATCCTTTTATACATAATAACAAATTTTCTGCACCTGTTTGAAGGAACAGCTATACGACCAGAGTCATAAAACAATCACAATAATGCTTTAGTTACAATATAATAATGGGCACTATTAATCAAGTTTGTGGCATAATATCAATAATTAGTGCAATTCAAAGCAGCCGGTCTTTGTCCTGAAAGTCTTGGAAATTAATTTTGCAACAACCAGGCAAATTTTAACGTCAGCCGAGCGCACCGCACCGATGGCTGACGCGGTTTAGTATTTTGTATTTTACGAAAGCAATTTCTTAATGGAAGAGTGAATACGCTGTGAATCAGCCAGAGCATCATCCCATGATTACTGTAGATTTGGTGTGCTCATGAAAGTTTAAAAGCTATAGAAATGGCCAGCAAACATGAGCGAAAATTTAAATAGGTTGGGGTGGTAGGTAGGGCTAGGACTAGAATATGCATTTCCGGAATAATGTAAATCCTTCCGAAAAAACAGTTTAAAGGACGGGTCACTATAGGTCACACCAAAACTCTTGTGACAGCACTCACAGCACCTATGCCGACACCGAAAAATTGTAAGTGAAATGTCCAGATACATGCATGGTACCAGTTTCGTATATAAGTATACCTAGAAAGTTTCGCTTTCCGGCATTGCGAAACTCTTTTTTGTATAATTTTACTTCATTCTAAAGCCAAAGGCTTGTGTGTGTACACACTGGCTTGAATAACGTTTGTGCGCACTGCAGCCGGTTGCTGAAATATGGTGAACTAAAATTGACAAATTTCTGGATGCATTGTAGAGTACCAAAACTCCTGTTAATATCTGATCTTTTTGAAACTTCGCTGCAAAAGGCAAGGCGCATTATTGTAGAGCAAATTCTGAACCAAAATAAATAAAAACGCATTACTTGTAATTTGTAATCATTTAAAAAGGGCACTTCTTTGAATTTCGGCGCCTAAAGCTAATTCCCCAGAAGAGACAAATTTGGTATTTTGATTCCAGTCCTGGGAAATGCCTACCTAGCCCGCTTGCACTGTACTCTACTCTACTCTAATAACTCACCGTCCCTTGTCTGTGCGTATGAAATATTCATATCATACGAGTACTGCCAGAGCATGAAGAACGCCTTGGTTTTAATTTGTTGTAAGACATATATTGCTGTCAGCAGCTTTTGAATATTTGTGGATAAAATTCTTTTGCACCGTAAAATACGAATCAGTACGAAGTTACATAGTACGTTCTGAGATGGCGGAGGCTGCTAGAAAAAAATCTTTGGAATTAATCAAAAGCATGTCGGTAAGTTAAGAGGCTCTACACATACATATGTTGCAAAAATATATCTGAATTTGGTTTGGTCGGATTCGTATGAGAAGTTGTAATTTCCCAGAAATCGACATGGCGTGCACATACGGTCTCCATACTGCTTTAGCTGGCCAGTATGCTTTTTGTTTAAAATACGGCGTACCGTTGTTTTACAGTTTTCCTCTATTTGTGTTTAACATTTATTATTAACGACTGGCGCACGAACATTCAACACTTAAAACGCCAATGTGCTTGTCGCGATAAGAGCGGAAGACAAATCGTTGTTTTCTGTATATGAATTAATCTGTTGCTCGAATGCTGTTGTATCGAACGACAAAACTCCGTGAAGTTGACCGCGGCTTTTATTTTGCAACCTTATTAAGTGAAACTCAGTTATGATCTGTACTACTGTGTGTATGTAGAAAATAAATAAATACCTTAATTTGTATTGGTTAAATTGCGAATAAATATTCCTTTTTGGAGTAGTAAATCTCTGGACAATGGTAATTTAATCTGTTGTGTGGCATGTATTATGTACTTTCAACGTATGCAGCCATATTTGCAAATTGAGATGTTTTCCCATCATAATTATGACATAACATACGCCTGCCAGTCGTCAGCCCGCCGGGTATCACACCCAGAACCGTTACATAAATAAGAATTATATCACTAGATACTGAGATGCCAGTGTTTGATTAAATTACAATTGGGAGTACAATGATCACGATCCATGATACATTAATGCAATTACAACCAGGAAAGATTCATAACATATATAAAAACTGTTAAATAATAGCAAACATGCGCAATCAGAAGAATGACTACCGCTTGCTACCTCTATAAATAGACAAACACCCAAACAACGCCTCAGATTAATGTGCGATTTGCTTTGACAATACATGGCTTATCCGAGATACCAGGGAGCTTTGTCGCCGACTGTTTTCTCCCCAGTGTTGCGCGCCCTTGAATGTCGTACTAGATGGCTAACGTGAGCACTCCGCGATTCCAGGTGGGCCGATCGTTTCCCCAGATACCAGGTCGGCTTTTCATTGGTGACCTTTGGTTTATCCGACGTACTGCGTTTGAGGCGCGGAGTATTGAGGGTGTCGAATAGATCCGTAGCGGACCTTCCTGTAAACTTTCCATTAAGGTCACTTTGTGCTTCCCATCCGGCAGAGTTGTGCGTCATGGCAGAAGGACTGCTGATCCCTGATTTTGAGTTCTGGGAGTCGTTATCGTGAATTGCTTGCTGCAGATCAGACCGTTTGCCAAGGTACCATGTACCAGCTTGGTTAGGATTGCCGGTTCGCTTTGCTTCCAACGGCGAGTTCGTTTTGGCAGTAAGCTCGCGTACTTGAGAAAGAGCTGTCAAAGTTAATTTGAAATTGTTAGAAAATTATACAGTATTAATAGAGATCAATAGCATATTTCACATACTCTGTACGTATTGTACATATCGGCACATGCAGATTTTAATGTTCCTATAATTATTCGTCATAGTACAGAAATTTTATCCAATCAAATGCAAAGATTTTGCAGAAGACACATTTATGTTATATCAGTAGCACTACAGCGCCATTATTAATCTTATAACATTTGTATAATAAGTATATAATTATAAAGTGAAACAAATTGGGTTACTTACTGGTAGAAGGGTTCCAGTATCTTTCGAGGAATAACTGACTTGTTCGACTGCAAATTACGCAGTTAAAAGCCGCGTAAAACATAAGGGAAATATTGAATATTTCGCGCACAGTCAAAGCCATTTTGGGGAAGGCCGGAAAAGACGCTCTTGAAGGTATCAAGCTGATAAAGAGTAATCTCAATATCCTGTTTTTAAGCACCTTTTGATCGAAGAAACTGAAATGAAGAAGTTCAGCGAATTCTGAAATGGTGAACGAATAACCGGCAATTTATATATCCTCAGGTAGACGTCTTCTCCCATTTATTACGCCCGTCTAAAATCAATAATTCAACGCTTTTGGCGCTTCCCAGTCTTAAAATAGTCTGCATGAAATGAACATTTAATGATGACCTCAGTAAGGTCAGGCACTGTACCATCCTTATTTTTAAGCGAACAATGGAAGGATTGGTTCATATTAGGGCACTTAATTAATCATTTTGAAATCGTCATGAGTTCACAAATTGATTCATATTCAGTTTTAAGATATACACGTTGCACGTGGATTCTTCAATAACGTATCGTTTTGGGTTCGGAGGTGCAGTCGCTGAATTAGTTATCTGCGTATAGTTTTACCTTGTTTTCGCGCCTAAAACAAGGGCATTTATTTTTATACGACTACGGCGGCGCCTATATGACTTACGTAAAAACAACGCATAACTTTTAATTTCATATTGAAGCATGTAGAGTAAAACCGGTAGAATTTGTCCAACTAAAAATATGGTCCAATGCATTGTTACCCTGCCACAACGAATAGTTAGCTATAGGTGTACCTGTAAGGCTGTAATCAACTGATTGTAAAACCCTAAGTGATTGTTTAAGGATAATTTTCTGCAGCCTAAATGTACACTTTGGAAGAACGTGGGATCCGGAGATAGCACAATTTTGTTGTCGTTTATGCCGCTGTTGCAGCGATAAAAGGCTATTATTAACCTGCAAACAACCCAGTTCTAAACAAGTAATTTGCTGGCGCAATGAGTCGGCAGTTTTAGGGTCGCACGAACCCCACAAAAGGGCACCCAATACATCCAGGCCTGGTCGCCGGGTTTTCCGAGATGACCGGACCCTGGATCATTGGTTGCGCTACTCTGAGGACATTTTCACGCGTTATTTCGGACGCACTTAGAGCCCGCGCTGGGCCTACGTTGGCGCAAAAAACCAGCTGCTTTGGGGCAAGAAAAAGGTCATTTCGTAGGTTTTAATAGTACACCAAAATACCGTTCACCGGCCGTTTTCGACACAGTCTGTACACTGCAATGTGCGTCCAATAAATGAATAAAAACAAATAAAATCATACCATGAAATTTACATAAAAAATACACCATTCAGCGACCGATGTCGATGTCACACATACAACATAAACGTACAAAAAATTCCACAAAATTCAAATCAAACTATTATGAGGATCAAACTTCACGGAGCGTTTTCAAACGTCATTTTTTGACAATAGCAAATATAACTCTGAAGATGGAAGTCTCAGTGCTCCTCAATTTCGACTGAGACGCGACGATTTGCACCCACAGCTCCTGCAATAAACACAGCTGTAAATTTCCAGTTAAGCTGCAAGGGGCACAACAATACAAGAAAGAACAAAATGCACAAAAACAATGTAAGCAGTAAATGAACCAAAACAATTCAAAGGCTAACGAATATTACCACACACAAGACAACAATACGGCGATAACGAACCACACTTTTCTAATTTCACATGCGCCCGAGTTAGAATACGCTTACCTGTTTAATTTCGTGTTATCGCGGGCCTCGAATTCGGCGTTCCAGACCAGTCAAAGCTAAAGACTTTCCACATCCAGAAGAGTGAAAAAAGTGGGAAGGTTCCGATCGAAAACCGTACTACAACACTTTGCAACTCTGTCGATTCCACCTCCATTTCAACGTTAACATCGAACTGATAATACTAATTCTAAGAGGATATTTGAACATCTTGAAAAATTGGTCTCGAAATTCGCTACGATTAACTGAAAGGAAAAACCAAAACTAACCGATAAACACAAACAGGACGAGTTCGCTGCAGGCTTGCAGCTAAAAATATGAAAAGTTCTGATCTTGCACGAACGTGCAGCGGCCATGTGTTATTTTCGAATTCCGAAACTGAACGGTCATTGGTGGAAGTTAAATACCCGCCCCTTATGCGGCTAATACACTGGAAGCCGTGGCAGCCGCTTATAGGGGCGCAGTTTCAACATGCCGTTTATTTCCGGTGTTTCGCCCATCACTGGCGGTTCACAGAGTAAATTGTGTTTCATATGCGTTATTGCGGCCGCACAAACGCGCCGGCAAATTCAGCCATTCGGAATGGGCAACACCTGGCGAGGAAATAGTAACGTATTTATCAAATTAATCAGTTTGGCTAAAGATTACGGTAAAATACTGTAATTCTACTTTCAGTAAGGGAAATAAGTTATAAAAAAGTTACAATTTGCAAACAGTTAACACATTTACAGTTTTGACCTTAGTAAAGTCGCGTATAGATGTTTGTATATATGGTGTACATAATATATTATACGGAAAGATCAAAGTTAACCAAAATTGTCAAGATTTTCTAAAGTACTATGTTGCATTGTTGAATGACAAGCGTTCTCGAGTGGCTCCATAACCATCTGCCTGCAATACTTTAATCTAGATAATTATGTGTCTTTTCGTTGGGGTCTGACTTATAACAACTCAAATAATTGCGACTAGATAAAACATTTAGCGTAACATTGAAAGTAATCCCCGTTTTCTGAAATGGCCCCGTAGAGAGTCAGTTATACTCAGTATATGTTTAGCGCGGTTATACGCCCATAAAGTGATTAGCGTAATTACTCGAACAATAAATATTACTGTGATGGCTGTGAGGGATTTGTTGTTTTGGGCAACCTACAGCATTCGCTTTCGGTTTTAAGTGGATTTTCGTTATCACACACATTTGCTTATTCACTTTAATTTACTGGTTTCACTGCTAGATTAAACTCTTTCACTCAGGGACATACTCCTCCTACTCGTAGGCGTTTCCAGTCCAGTGTTGCCCAATGCCCACTACTGCGGTCCCTTCAGTGACGTATGTACGGTACTCATACAGTCATACTACAGTCACTCATAATAATTATTATAATATTCATTGTTAACACTCCCGTAAGTTGCAGTACGCTCCTTTGATGCTGTTGGAATCAAGAGGAGGTTCCCGGCACTATGTGGCGCTCAAGTACTCTGTAATACTCGTATTATGTCATCGTTCGCTGTTGAACGGCAACAGGTATGTATATCAAATATGGTATATGGATATGGCTACCACGACTGCACAATACATCTGGTATGATTGGATTCGATCAGCCGGAACTAGAAAACCGGTCACAGCTAACGAATTTGAGGGGAGGTCTGACAAATTTTCATTACATACTGTGAAAGCCGCCAAATGTTAAAAAGATTTCTGACGTATGTATATTTGCATGGTATTCGCAAAATCTGCAACGTATACGTACTATCCAAGCGACAAAACTACCGACGAAGTTTTAATGGTGCTTCAAATGTTTTACAAAGACCAAACAAATGCTTTAATAAAAAAAGTTAATTGTTATAAGAAATGTAATTAAAATATTTACTGGGATGCAGAAAACTTCCAAAAATCATATGGCGTACATACCCATACCTTTTTGGTTTCCCTTGCGCATGGTGATCGCTCCCGCGCTCAAAGTACTGTACTACAAGATTTCAGTTCAAAGACAGATTTTATCGTTGACAGACTAATCAGTAGGAATTTTCATCTTGTACTTGGTCCTCCTGTATGCAATAAATAAGCTCCTGGTTATCGTCACAACGTACGAATCCATGGGCTGTCGAAACAAAAATTAAACCTTGGTTAGAAATAAATTTTAGGATGTTTGCATCCCAAGCTTTTTTGGTGCCTTCAAGCACCGGAAGGTCAGCCAGCCTGGAAAGGTAATTCCTGGAAAGATCCTTTCTCAAAATACTACCGGTCGCGCCCAAAGATAACTATTTTTCTATGCTAGTGCGTTGCAGTTTAAAATCATTTGATTTTCGCAGGCTTGCAGTTGAAGGTGCATATGTACTCTGTATATGCCGTGATGTGGTAATATTAATGTAATTCTTCATAATAACGGCACAGGTAGCCACTCTTTTAATTACTGCCGTCTGTCCAGTTAACAACTGGTGATCTGCGCGCTCATAAGCTGTTCTGATAGTTTGATCCCAGTCGGGTTTTATCAATTTCAATGACAAATTTTGTTTTTATCAAAGTACTTCACTTTCACATGTATCTGTATATATGGTAATCGTCATTCTCTTTTGTCTCTTAATTTCAACAACAAATGCATCTTATACATATTTTGTGTAGGCAGTAGGTACATGTACTATAATGTACTTTGCCGTTACGTTATTTTAAGTTACTGTATCTGTAAGCTCCACCTGTCTGTTTATTGAGGTCGGTGGAACGTGACACGCCCATACCGCCCATAAACTTTTAATTATTTACAGCTTTCGAAAGCATCGCCTCCACTTTGGTTTAATTCTAGGTCGTACGAACAGCGAATAACAGAAAAAGTTAAAACCCCCACTTTGGTTTAATTCTAGGTCGTACGAACAGCGAATAACAGAAAAAGTTAAAACCCCATTGATATTCACAAATACCTAGCTATGTCCTGCGTTGCGCATGCCATATCTGTACATACAGAAATAGAATGAAATTTCTGTGTAATACTCATAGCCACAGAGCTTCTCTGAAACTTCCAACAGCCTGAGCGATTTGTAAATAACTGTAATATATTCTGTATCTTCATAGCTCAAACCGTTACTTAAAAGTAAACACATCGTGATTTTGTAAAAACGTTTGTTGACCTTTAACTGTAAAAAGTGAACGCGGTATAGGTTTCAATTAATAACAAAGTATTAATTTTAACAAATCAGTTTTAAATTTCTGCAGGCCATGTCGGCACTTCCATTCATGGTAATCCATCTGGCACAACGGGATCGATCTGTGCACCGTTTTGCATGATAAGCGGCTCCAGCGTTCGGAAACGCTGTTGACTTTACCATTAAGAGTAAACAGTTTTCGCATCCGTAATAAATATTTCATCTTGACTTGTAAAACAGGTGCATCGAATGCGGGGAAAAAGTTTTCTGAATAGCCTGCGCAGTCGAGCGTAGCGATAAGGCTGACCATAAATATTTATTACATTATGTCCCTGATTGATTTGTCTTTCCGGTTGGAGCGACTCTTTTGATGTACGGACGCACGGCGTGCGGGATCGGGCAAACCTTCGGAGAGATCTATGATGCAGTGCGGCGACGTGCAATACAACCAAAAAATTTACAAGCGAACAGTGGGGATTAGGCTAATAAAAAGACATGACTAGCGTTTACCATGCAGCTGATCTCTGGATATTCCCCGAGTACTTCATATACATATATGCAACACACTCGAGCAAACGCAGGCCATTAGATGCTCAGCCTCTTTCTGTCTCGACTCTCTCGCCCTTTTGCCTCGCTCTCTCCCTGCCCCCTGATTGGCATGGGCCGTGATGTGAAACGCAGTGTAATCGGTGTGAATGGTTGGCGTTATAAAGTATGGATTTTCGTCCTTCTATTCCCGCATCCATATAATACAACGGCTGGTGTAGTTCGCTGCAGCAGCTGCCTTGTTGCCGGTCGGTGTGTGTGTTCCCGCGAATCCATAGACTATAACGATTCCCATCCAGAGAGTGTGTACCCAACATGAGACGCACACAACACACCCTACGCAGCACACACACACGCACACAACAGACTGTGTGCTGCAGTAGTGCATGGTCCAGACTGAAAAGGAAGCCAGGGCTCTCCTATAGTACCCAGCACACACACACACACACACACACACTATGCATGTAGAGCATATAGGGGGAAATTTTGTAAGCAAGTTTAAATAGACGGCATGTGGAGAGCGGTGGCACTCGAGTTTGTGAAAACCGTTAGTTGATGAGTTTGTGGAATGAATAGTCAAAAAGGCCGCAAGAGACACGGCTGGAGGTAAAACATGGGATATATTGAGGAATAATGCGGCGTGTCATGTGTAGATTACAGGAATAACCGTCTAATGCATACATGTCCCCGTGTTTAGACGTGTGTAATGCCGCACCACAGCGTGTACCTTTTATGTATCTGCCGTTCCTGTTAAACCTGGCTGTGCCGTGTGCGACAGCAGCGGTTTTTCGCCCCAGCAGATCAGATTCTTTCTGCGCCAGCCGAGACACAATTTCCACTGTGCGTATTTTTCAATCTTAGCCCCCGTACCACGTCTTTCGCTTCCGCAACGGAAATGAAGATATTACTGTAAAGATGAAAAATCTCCTTCGTATTCCGCATTTCTGTGTGCTTCCGCAATCAACGCATACACCTGGATGAAATAATGGTCAAGTGATTATACAGCGGCTGGAAAGTTGAATATACGTCTAACTGTGATATCCAACTGGTTTATTCTGCATTTCTGGGAGATTGTTTAATGGTTAATCCACGGGAAATACGTCAGCTGGAGACGGCAAACGAGGTCCTGCCTCACAGCCGGTTCGACAATATCGTACACGCGGTCATTTCCTGGACATAAGTAGGACTGATTGACCAATCGATAATTATCGTGCCGAGCAGAAATCTGCTGTGTACGTACCACTGACATGTATCCTGTAGGTGCATGTAATACAAACATACACGTAGATTAATTACATATGGCCCAGTGGTCACCAAAAATCGATAGATGCATATATAAAACGCATATTATTACTGTCTATTTAAAGTTGTACTGGTATCTTATCTTGTACGTACGTGCGTAATGCTGTCAATCTCAATGGCCTAGTTGGTCACACATTTTTTTTAATTTGAACAGAAAAGCGATATCCTGTGAACAACAGCATCTGGACATGTTGATTTAACATCCAAGCATGTTAATCACATCGACGTAACTGTAATCAACTGTCGTCTGATCTGTCATGCACACTCGCCCTCTCAATTTTCCGATTGGCTGCCTAGTGCCGAAACAACTGCCATGAGACAGTAATAATGCCTTCCCCATTTGCCCAATGTATGCTGACCTATCGCCAAGCCCGATAATCACCAACTTTTCTGCATTGTACTCTCTGTTGTGCATCTGGTGTCGGGTTCATTGTGTTGACATTATTTTATCGTTTTTCCACAGGGCAATATACAGTACAATATTGCTCTGCACTCATCCATCGTACACTGCCTTGGCCTTAATTGCGCATTCCGCTAACTTGTAAGCGAAACGATGAAAAGCCCATTATCGACGACAATCGGCTGGCATCCGTACACATCACAATTGCTCAGCGATGCACACTGGCGTAACGTGGTCCACTGCCGTGTGAACGTTTATATATTGCATAAATGCCGTGTACGGACATTTTGCTGGCACTCCATGTGCTAAAAAGAGGTCGGGATTGTGTGAGATTTTACGAGTTTATCCTGACTGCACATGCAGTGGAGCCAGAAAGAGTCCCTTTTTAAGTGACTAGCAACTGGTACAGAAAAGGAAGCGAGCAAGGATCTTAGCCCAGTGAAAAGGAGGATTATATAAATCGTACCAGTGACAGCATGTGAAATAGCAAGAGGAGAGGGAGAGGAGAAAGAACAGTCTCGTTGGTTACGCGCACCCATCGATCGGGTGCGCGCACTCACACACATACACACTCGGATCGCATATCCCTGTGACCCCTTTTACGCAGCATCACACCACTAACCCAATCGATTCATCATGCTGCAGATGTACGGTCAGAGTCGTAATACCGGCGGTGGGGGAGGCGGCGTCAGCTCCGGCTTCTCTAATCCCGGACCACTTCCTGCCGCATCATCGTCGGCTACGACAACAGGCGGCAGCGGTGGAGGCGGCGGGAGTAGTGGTGGCATGCAGGGCATGGCAGGCTACAAGGTTATACGCGGCGGGCTACCTGGATTTAATGTCAGATCCACACACCGCGGTCAGTCGCCTACACGCGCTCGCGGCCAAGAGCGGGATCGCGAGCGGGATCGCGATCGAATGTATCAGCAAAACTACTCATCCGGCGCATCTGGTCTCGAGCGGGAGCGCGGGGAGCGGGACGGGCGGGCGGAACGTGAGCCGCGCCATCGTGATCGCAATGCCTTATCGACACCTGCATCGGCCCGTGAGTCGCCCATTACGCATGGCGGCGGTGCGGCCAGTGCCGCGGCACGCCGCTCACGCTCCGGCGCCAATAGCCCACTGATGTATCGCAATCAGAACGAGGTGCTGGAATCCTATCCCAGTCGGTACAATGTGGCCGAACAGCAGCAGCAGTCCTACTTCTCCGATTCCGCTGCCATGGGCCACATGTCCACCCTACCCAAACAGTCGCGCCAGTCCAGCCCGGCACGACGCGGCCAGCTGAACCGGGCACGGAGTTTAACACGCGACGAATCACTGGACCGGGAACTTGCTCAACGTGCACAGCGCAATCTCCGCGATCGCTCATTGGATCGAGAGTATTTTAATTATCAGATGGCCAATCAGAACTCCTATGCCACCTACGATCCACGGCGGGAGGCGCGCGCACGTTTACGGATTGATTCCGATATGCCGTATAAAAATCACCTACTGGATGGTCAGCATCCCGGTTTATATGACGATATGGATACCGGTTATAATGCCTACCAGAATTCCATGCCGCATAATATTTCGCACAATAACCTGGGCGCCTACAGTAATCCCATGGTCCGGACCAATCTCAGTATGCCCAGCGCGGCGACGATGCAGGCAGCGGATGCGGCGCTGGCCAGTAATTATGTGAATTCCCTGAGTATGAGCAATATGGCCGTCAATCCGGCCCAATTACGGACCATGCCGCAGATGGTCACCACGGTGCTGCCGGCACCGCAGATGACCACCGCCCAGGCGGCCACGACGGCGGTCACGCCCACCACGACCAGCAATGTGGTCAACACCAGCGTGGATCCCCTGCTGACACTGAAAACCCAGCTGCTGGAATTACATAAAATCAATCAGCAGTTACGTCAGGATATGGAGACAGCCTCGCAGAAATTACAGTCAAGTATGAGCAGTATTAAGACCTTCTGGAGTCCCGAGTTAAAGAAGGAGCGCGCACTGCGCAAGGAGGAAATTGCCAAATTTGCCCTCATTCAAGAGCAACTCAGACTTGCTAATTTGGAAAATCAAGTAAGTGCGAAAAAAATTTCCCTTAACCGGCAAGGCGGGGCACCGAGCGGGTAATCGCGTATTTATAATCCATTATCGGGCCATAATTATCCTGATATATTGACAATACTAATTTACGGTGTGATTCGGCATGCTGTGTGTAGTAATTTGTTCAGTGTGTCGGCACAACATCAGGCAATCATAACATAAATATAGCTCTGTGCTCGACGGCGGAATAACGGCATGCAACCCATATAATCTCCATTATGGCCGGGATTGCCGGCTAACATCGGGTTAAGGAGCGCGCAAATGCAAAAGCACGTTTTACGCCGGAAATGTGCCTTGAATGTACGCAATGGCTGGTTGCGACGGAAATGTTTAGGTGATCTTATGCATACACAACAAGCCCCTCGTTCTTTGATCGAGGGATTTGACTAACGCTATATCCCCCCTTTTTGCGCTATAGAATCGTAACTAATGCCGAAAGGAAATTTTGTTTCACATGCAGTGCAGCAGCGGTAATGCGAGAGCGACACAGCGCGGCTAAAGAGAAAACAACCTTTTAGTTTCCCTCTCAGGGGACGTTTGTTCCCATTATAATGTCAGCCCTAGCAGGCATCTGGGAACCGTACAAGGAGGATGGAGGGTCTTTTCATTTTGCGTCGCTACATACTTACACCAGTGCATTTTGCCCAAGAAGTGTGTGGTTTAGCTTGCATGATGCGCTGCATTAACGAAAACCGGATGCAGCCGGGATAATGTATAATACTTTATTTTTGCGTAACGACCACGGCGACGGCATTATTATCGGGCAGTGTATATTGGCTAGGATTTATGTTGCTCCTAGTTAAGGAATCGATTAATTCTCAACCAAAGACCGGAACATGTGAATTCATCGGTTTAGGGAAAGCACAGTATGTACTGCATATATACCGTAAGACTTGCACGCCGGTTACGTATGCATAGCGGCGTTAAAATTTCTGACAACTTGAAATGAAATGGAAGCGAAACAGTCAGTGATATTAGGTCTTTTCCATCATGGGCACTGTAGACATCCAGATAAAAGGGGAGAGCAGTTGGGATGATGTGTGCCAGTTGTGCAGGGCAATCTATCATTCTCATCAAGCGCTGCATCTCCAACTGGGATCATCGCCTTTGTCAGAAACCGCTATTATATGTGAATAATGACGTAACATATAGCCCATATACGGGAAATCGCCAGATTTCAACCCTGATTTCCCTCTTTCAAAATAAATGTATTTCAATACACATTAGTGATAATTATTTGAGATTGGGGTGCAAATTTAACATAAACCAAAGCGCAGTTCAGTTTTTTGGTAGCTTGTAATAAGCTTTAGTGTTTTTCGGCAGCCCAAATTTTTTGTGATTACACTGATTTGTGAATTTGACTCTTTCTCACAAATTCGAATGTTATAAATTAAAAATTCTCAAAAATATCTTCTTAAAATTACGAGGTTCGATCCAGACGGTGAATGACGCAAAGTTTCGAATTTTCTGGGCATTATAGACTTGGATGTTGCATATGTAATATTAAGCAAATATGTGGCGAGCTTGCTATCAAACCACTCTCGGTCACATAGCAAGATAAGAGATGCGTAATGTATAGGCTCCTTTCAAATGGTAAGAGTCAATTTTGTCAATATTATGTCAGTGTCGCTCAATATTTTGTGATGAAAGTTGCATAACAATACTGGATATGAAAGCGGATATCACATTTTTGATGAATTCCTTACGTGCTCCCTATTGATTGGTTTCGGTTGACTTTTAGCCAAAAAACACTACTGCCACTGTTCGGTATACACCGCCGCTTCACGGCCCCGCCACTTATATCGTTTACTCCCAAAGATCACTTCCTGCTGACGCAGGCAATTTTCAAAGTATCTTTGGCGTATCTACCGATCAACAGGGAATTTTTAGTATGAGGCAATGGAACTTTTTTATTCGTCGTACGAATTGTGTTACAACAGATGGCACATCTATGACCTTATAATAAAATGCAGCTGAGACAATTCATGGAAAGGCATGCAGTTTGTTGGTTCTACAATTTTTCTTTAAAAATGGTTGTGCTTTAGTCATAATAGTAAGTTAATCGATTGAAAAACGAAAAATTTCTTAAACTGAAAAACGACCTTATTTCTTAAATTACGCCCGCATCACATTATTCATATGCTATACCTGGTCAGTTCCTATGAAATTTCCTTTTTATGGTTAGCTTAGGTTTTTATTTGGATGAACTAGTATTTATTCGATTCACGCATAAGTGGATTGGAGTTTCCATAAATGTATTCCAACACATCCTAAACAGGTTATAATTAAAGAAAAATCTGTCTCCTTCCTCCTAAGTTTGAACGTTGGATATTGTACCAACATGTGGTTATAATTAAAGAAAAATCCTCGCGTTAATTGTAGAGATATTTGTTACTGTGTGATTGCGAGACCATAAAGCACTAAAGTTAACTGCCGGTGTTATAAATCGATAGCGGGCATCTGTTGCGAATTCAAACAATATACATAAGTGACAGTCGCGTAATGACAGGAACACCGGAACGCAGTCATGCGACAGTGTACGCAAGTAATTGTACGGTTCCCAGTATTGGTTTTACGCTGTGACCCAGTTCCCGCCGGTAGCCGAACGATTCAATCCGATACGAACTGCCGTGTCTAAACCGGTATACGCCCGCGTGTGCTTATATAATTATGTAATTTTTTTGACAGAAACACTCGCAAATCATCCAGCAGCTGGATGACGAGCTGAAGCGGACCAATCGCGATCATCGCTTCAACGGGCCGGCCCTCTATCAGGATCTGGAGTCACTGCGGTCAGAGCGTGAACGGCTAATTAAGGATAATCAGAATCTGCGTGATACAATACGTGATCTGGAGAGTCGTATGGATGCTCAACGTTTGACACTGGAATCACGTGATGAGAGTATAAAAAAGCTACTGGAGATGCTGCAGAGTAAGGCGCCGACGAGTAATCTGCGCTGGATCGAAGAGGAATTCCGCTCCGATCACGAACGGACACGACAGCGATTGTTCGAAGCTGAGAACCGATCACGCCGGCTGGAGGAGAATCTGCAGATGAAGCACAGAGAAATGAGCAAGATTAAAGAGGTCCTCCCTTACCATCATGTTAAAACTAACAACTGACTTTTGATACGTCTGAAAAGTTTTGTTTGCATGATGAGACTGACGTTGGGATCGGTGCGGTAAATGATACCGATGTGTCTTGTGTGTTTTACAGGACCTCAATATGCAAAGCGAAACATTGCGTCAGCTGCAGAGTCAATATGAATTACTCTTGCGTGATGGTGACCCGGCCTCTCGTGCCAGCGCCTGGCAGACCATTGTTGACATGAAGGTTCGTACAACATACACTGCTAAAAAACTGATTGACTAGTTTGGAAAAAATTAGACCATGCAGTACTTTGTATCGTTGCGGATTATTCCAGTACACATTATATCTGCAAACGAAGAAGCAAAATTATCCTCGCCTTTGCTATCAAAATTAGTATAAGTACGAGTATTAGATATATAGTGACTACTGGTCCCTTAGTTTCGAAGGCTTATGTGTGTTGAAAATTGCAATGTTCCCACAAAATTACCATAAAAAAATGCCTTCCATTTGGGTAGAGAGGTGGTGTTCTAGCAAAAATTTGCGCTATAATTTTTCTTGCAAGATGGTATGTCTACTTGTCCAGATGTCCCGTTACGTTGTGTGAAAATGTACTGCAATTAAGTAATTTTAAGAACCTACAAGCCACGGAGAAATACTGCTGATATCTGAACTGGAAGTACCAGCCATACGAGTAGTAGAACGCATATGTACTCAATTCGTAGATCGGGACTCAAAAGCTAGTTAATTATTCTATTTCTTTGTTTGACTGAACCCTTATCTATCGTAAAAGGACAAAAATTTATGCGCTTAAGTATGCGAGGAATTGCGATATCAAGTAAATAATTAAGAAATTCTGTTGTTAGTTAGGTATCACAACTGTCAAGTACAGCTCCCTTCTGATTTTCTGACGTAGTTTAGACTTCCTAAACGTACATTTATAAAAAATGTTTAAACTGGGGTCTAGTACTGATTCGATAGTTCAGATTTAAATAGAAGCATAGCACTTTGACTTATATTTACTGGTTAATAACTTGATGCGAGATTTAACTAGTGCTTTTGCAGTTTCAAGAAATTTCAGCTGGGTAATATAATGAAAACTTAATTATATCAGTTCTTAGCTAAATACTTTTATTACTTGCGAATATTTCATTTGCTTCGACACTAGAACGAAAGAAGTCGGAAAAATAACCACCAAAACTGTGAAAGTAGCCTCGGCTTATTGGAAAACGTATAGAAAGCACCTAACAGCCGATGACGATATACCGTATTTTATATACAGTAATGTAACAATCAAAAATATAGGACTATCTCTTTCTTGTAGACGTGTGTGATTGTCGTTTGAGGGCATTTTTGCATTTGATCTGCGCAAACCTTGTATGCAATTACTGTACAAACGACGTTTTAAAATCAAACTTAATAAAAGTGTTAACTAAAAAGTCTTACATCAGAGGCAGCAGAATATACTGCGCGCAGATCGACATTTCTGAGTACTTAACTCAAAGCTTAATTTGTCCAAGCGATATGAAACTCACTTTCGAGTTTCGACCAGTCCTACCGTTTTTGGCTATATACTCGCAAGTTTATTTTAGAATTTTTTTTTATACGAAGTACTGTACTTAGTAAGCGCCTGAGCGGCGCTCTTTGTTATGGGTATTGATTGCATCAGATCTTGATACCGCATTATTCTTTAATGGTTTACTGCTATTTTTAATGCTAAAAGTAAACCGGTAGAGCCAATTCTTAGCGGGCTATAATGATTGTTATAAAACGCTCATATATCAATAATTTGGATTATCTGATTAAAACAATATGGTATTATATGAGGAAAATTCAGTGAATGGCAATCAGCATTGTGTCAGTTTTCTCAAAAGATTTTTAGCAGGCTGAAGTCTCAGAACAGGGAATTGAGCAAAATCAAAGCTATTCAATACTATTGTCTTCAGAAAAAAAGTTTGACATTTAGATAACAATTTTTCTTATACAAATGGAGAGTTTTCTAACGCATTATGGGAGCGAATTATTCAGATGTTGTACAATTACGAGAAATATGATTTGACCTTTCAAATGTTTTTACTATTGTTCTCACGTTCAGATGTGTAGATTAAATTACGAACTTCATAAATTTAAAAAATGTCGTGACAGGATAATTTAAACTCGAAACATCACCGAGCTAGTTGTATATAGACTTCCCAATAGCTTCTGATGATTCAAAGAGTCATGCCACAAGACTTCCTTGGTTCAACTTTTTTAATTGTTGAAGAAAACGGGCAACTCTTTCATTCACTTTACATTAAAATACTGGCAGCGTATAAGTATACGCGAAAGAGAACATGTTGGTCATGAAATTTTTACTGCTTTATTTCTGGATGGACGCATGGTTGGCCTGCAGAGCTTTATCGTTCCTCCAGTACGAACCGCACACGGACCGCTAATCTAAAGGTTGTGTAGTATTACAGTAGTACCGCTCTATAATAATATTATTGTACAATGCATTTCGGAAGACTTGAGTTATGTAATACATTCCCGCTTGGTTGGGAATGTTTACGAGGCCATATGATTGCGCAACAGGAGCATTAATACTTCCGTAGAGCAGCATCAGTTTGCGTTTATACTGAGAAAACCAGCATTGTTCTGAGCTGCATGTGTTCTTTCAAGCAATCTTCAGGATCCATAGAAGAGTAATGCAAATTGCCCCACGTTAAAATACCAGCCTGCGGCTACGTACGTTTACAAATAAAATAATTAAGTTCTGTATGTGCGAGTATGAAAAGTTGCAGCGGCAATATTCCATGCAGCTGCATTTCTCATGTAATTTCGGTAAAGTAAAAATTGTAGGGCATAAAAAAATTAATGTTTACTAAAAATAAAGCTAGGCATTGAAGATCTACTGGAGGGCTAAAGATCAACCACAACAACGTTTTGGGCATTTTTGTTGGAGAATACAAATCTTTAAAATTTTTGGATGGGTTGATTCTGTTAAAGAGAATTATAACCTGGTTTCTTCACTTTTAGACCTGTTCTCTAAAACTTCTATTTGAATCAGCAAACGGAAGTGCAGGCGCTTTTTACAAGTTTTAGGTTACAACAATATCCGGAATATGCCTAACCATAAGAGTAGTGTACCGAAATAGTGTTTGGTATATGGATTTGCTTCTCATAACATGCAAAACGGGAATCTCTCTTTCCCCATTAGCAGTTCCAGCACCGGTTACAGAATGTAGTTTAAAGTTCGAACACGAAGTACTTCGCTAGCTATTCACTATAATTCTCTATAATCGCTACAATGAGTGAGATTTTTCGCTATAATTTTGTATACATCCTGCATCAACTGATACAGAAAACAAAAACATCAAAAACTTTTGCAGTGTATCCGCACTGAATGTGTGCTACCTGGTGCTCTCACCGTGCGGTAATCATTTTTACATTACATTACATTTTGCTCAATTTCCTGACCCCCGTGACGATTTAACAGCAGTCTCATATAATTAACGGGACCACAGTTTGTACATATACAAGTGTACTAACATTTAATCCATTTAATGGATTAAAGGTGATTTTGACAATGATTATGTACGAAGAAGAATTCCTGTATAAATTGTAGCAATTTCAGTAACCGGCATTTACGTGCATGTGTAGGTATGTTACGAGCGTATAACGTACTGGAATACTTAGCTGCTTTGTACAGAAACTGGAAGTCCCGGAGGCTCTGTATCGTTAATACCGGAAATAAGACCTGGTTTTCAACTAGTCATATTATTGAAAATATGCAATGGCATAAGCGGATACACAATATTTTCTCCTTTTATACAGGAAGCTCGAGTAGCTAGCCTGGAACGGGACATAAAACTGTTGGAAGACGAACTGAATCGATTTCGCGAGCAAACGGCTTCGATTGATCGCGACAGGAGGTTGGAGCATTCACGCCAGGGCGATATGCTGAAAAACCAGGAACGACAAATGAAAGAGCGGGTATATATACTCGTACACCATAATATAGAGCAATACACGTGCTGGATAGTCTATACGTATACGACTATACAGTCGACATTCTATGTAAATTAAATCGTCAATAAATTCCTAATGCTTATTTCTGGGGCAATAGATTGATGCATTAAGGGAAGAACTGACACGGAAAGAAACCGAAGTTGCAACATTAAAGACTAAACTCGATGCCCAAACGCAGCAGCAGTCGGATTATCAGAAGCACATTTCCGTCCTCAAAGAATCGATCACCGCCAAAGACGAACAAATTAGTGTGCTGCAATCTGACGTGAGTTATCAAAACAAAGAATCAGAGAATAACAAAAAATGTGAGCCATAAAATTTATTTTATCTTTGGCAGCTGGATGAAATACGCCGGCGATTAGAAGAAAAAAATGCCACAATTGAGAGAAAGACTCGATCGGAATCGCAGGCCATCGCTGACAAAAATCGCATTGCGGCGGAACTAACAGAAATTAAAGATCATATGGACATAAAAGAGAGAAAACTCAGCGTATTACAGCGAAAAGTAAGTTCTGTGCTTAAAATAAAATTGTAATGACTCTACTTTGTATTTTATAAATTTAGTGCAAAAAACTACTGACTACTCGTACTACGCTTTTGTATTACCTATAATATAAAACATTGTTAAACCCTTGGTTTAGTAAACGTTTTGCGCTTCCATGATCGCAACATTCAAAACAAGAACAGAGACGTTTCATAACATGTAAAGGATTATTATCATCGCGGGTAACTGGGGTGAGCATGCATGGCGATTTTCCAGTACAATTATTCCGTTATAGTAATCTAATCTTAAAATCTGCTACGAAGGTAAAATAGTTATTATTTTTGGACACTTAATACTTATTACACGATCAAGGTGTTGAATTAATTCAGGCCTGTGAATTGCCGTTTTACAACGTTATGTCCGACGTTACATAATATAAAAGTACGAGTAAATATATAAAAGCCTCTATATATTGCTAATACATTTGTAACTTAGCTAATTCTCCTTGTTAAATATGATAAATACTGTAAGTAGTGCACAAGCTGCACACTTTCCTTCGTTTTTACTGCATCCTCTGCAGTTTAAAAGATTAAAAGCTAAGGATGAAATCTTTCGGATTTAGCCACTCAATTTTTGAGAGACAAAAAATTTTGCTGATATACTACAAAAACAGAAGGCATTTATGCAACTTTTTCGAAGATTTCCTAATTATTTTAGCTCGAAAATACTGCCTGATATCGTTTCGTAATTGCACATTGTCAGTGCGCGAAGTTGTGTAGCAAATCGCCGCCTATTAGAATCTCGATCAACACGTTGCGCATTCGATTGTGCGCATATGCCATGTGTCCATTAAACGTTTTATGTTGTTCTTCTTAATAGCAAATCAATATTTCTTCCCAACGTTGGCATTTTTTTGTCAATAAGTGTTGTATATTCTGTGCAGCGTCACAGCGCGCGGTCGGTTTTTGAACGAACATATAACGATGCATGCTGCGGAGTTATGAAGCGATCTGGAACTTACACACTCTATTTACTTTTCGATTTCTTAATTCGATATCCTGCGGAAAGCTCAAAACTGACTTGTAAATTGCGCAGCTAGTCGAAAAGGGTTATCCGAACACAAGATATACGAGTTTGCCTTTTTCATTCTTTACCAGGCACTTTTAAAATTTGCGAAATTAAACTCCTTGAAAATAAATAAATTTACGTTGCACACGTTTACAACTTTACGGTAATCTGAAAAGAAGAAGCGGTGCCAAAAAAAATTCGGAATTCACACAATTGTACTATAATTACTAACAAAATGTACATATAAACTGAAGAGTAAAAATGCCGATTCGATTCCTTTAGTCAACTCTTTTAACTTAGTTATCCGTTTATTTTATTATTAGAGTTTTTCTTCACGCCATTATTGACATATAAATGTAGTTCTACGCTGCTTTCTGAAACAGTTTAAACAATGCGTTACTCTTAGACTATGATTATGATTATACGGGTGTTGCGAAGAAATCACGTACGAAAGTATACATATATAGACCGTGATCATTTTACTCGTAAGTATTGTATCTCAAAGTTAGCAGTTAAACCCGTACATTGTATTGGCAATTAGATACGTTTGTATTATTAATCTTAACCACAAATTCCACAACTGCTTACTTTTTACCATCTTTAGCGAATTTACCAGTGTCGTAAATATATGGAATTTTGTCGTAAATATATGGATGCATATGATACGCTGATCCGTTGACAATTGCTGCTGTTACCGGCAGCCAGACTTTCATTTTTTGGAAATATCACTTCTCCTTTTGGAGAGCAGGAAAGCGAGACAAGAGCGCACAGCCGTGGTATTAGGCGGAAACACGAAACCAGCTGAATCTACATGCGTATGCATGTACATACATTTAACAATTCATATTCATGGCGTACTTCCTTTCTATCCGGCATAAAAGACAGTGGAGTTTTGTGGGGATACCACACAAAGCAGCCAGGACAGGTCTAGCCGGAATAACAGCCCATAGGCATGTTTATCAATCGACCCTGAAGCCAATGGGAACGAATGGGATCAACTGTTCCGGGCGCCGGCCCCGCCCACCTCCTGGATGCTACCACACAATTACGAATCTGCCCTTCCGACTAACATATAAATAACAGTGCTTACAAAGTAGAGTGACATTCATTTTTCAGTTTAGATGCCGCAGTACAAAAGCATGTTAGCGCGGCGACAGTTATCAATGGCCGGGGACGAATTTAGTCCATCGTTTAGACGCGATTGACTCCTCTCGCGCGCTGTCACATAACATTGTACCGGCAATGTTATCCTGAACAATGGAGCACAATCGCGACTGGCGGTCGTTGAAGCGCTCCTGCTGGCAGCTGCAGTCGTTTGTGAGCAATTGGATTAGGATATTTAGATACACGGCTTTTTGTGTGAAATTAAATTGTGGAAAGCGCTTACGCGTTAACGCTGCTCCGTGGGATAAGCGGGCGTTGTCCCTATTGTACGGCATTTATGTTATATGTCTGTAACATTGTTTACATTTCAGATTGAGAATCTGGAGGATCTTGTTAAGGAAAAAGAGAATCAGTTGGAGTTGGCCAAGGGGCGCTTAGCCTCCGTGCAAGTCGATCAGTCCAGCCATGATCAGTCGCTAACCACCCTGGAAGCCGCACTGGCGGAGAAAGAGAAGCAAATCCAACGGCTGAAAGATCAACGGGATCGCTTAGAGAAAGACAAGCAAGAGGAATCGGAATTGCATCAACACGAAATTAGGGAATACAAAATTAAGATTGACAGCTTGGAGAAAGAAATCGAGTTGAAGCAGGTAATAGAAAAACTCAGCTGTCGCAGCTGCCGACAGGGAAAATCGCTTTTAGCGAATATATATTCCCAGCTGCACCGCACTGGTTACGCGCATTGGGCTACAGCCGCGCCGTGCCGGCAGAAATGCATTTGCACAGCGCGGCCGGCACGTTCCCTGTTCGGCGCATGCTGGGCAGTATGGGCACGTACAGACTATCGACTGAATCAACATAGGTTATATAACACTCTGCACCCGCCAAGTGGCCCGAGTTCGGGTAGCCAATGATACGAGACACTCCATTTCCGTTATGTAAAGTGTGTGTGTGTGTCGCGCTGGCTACTGCAATGATCGATCAGAAAAAATTAATCGATTTTTTGTCTCTTTATTTGCCCTGGCTGTGGCGCTACAGAAAACGCTGGATATGCTACAAAAGACCAATACCGATCTCAATGCCAGCCTGACACGGAAAGATGACGATATTCGCACTCTGGAGTCCACGGTCTACGACCTGCGCAGTCAAGTCAATAATCTCCGCTCACAACTACATCGCTCCCAGGAGACCGCTTCGTACCCGGATGCTGCAGCCGGTTATAAAGCGCAGGGTGAGTTGGCGGAACTGCGCCAGAAAGTCTTCACTCTGGAGCAGCAGTGTGAATTCCACAAGAAGGAGCGCAACAATACCCAGAGCGAGAATGACCGGCTGCGGCAGAAGATTCTGTCGTTGGAGCAGTCCCTGCAGCAGACCGAGGGCGAATCGGACCGGCTGCGCTCGCGCATCACCAGCGTGGAGCAGATGTTCGAGCGCACTCAGGCGCAGGATCAACAGTCCCAGGCGCAGATGCAGCTGTTTAAGGAGCAGAGTGCCGTCGCGGCGGCGTCCCCGGCAAGTAAGGCGGAGGAGAACCGCCTACGGGCGCAGGTCGAGGAACTGCAGTCGCGTCTCAAGAACCAGATGGATGAGGACCAGAACCGGATATTCGAGTTACAGGTATGATAACTATGAAGTATTGATCAGCTGGGTTGTCGTGACCCAACAAGTTAGCCACGTCATATGTGGATTTTGTCATGCTTGCCAAAAACTCAATGCCTCATTACTTACTACGTCGTACGATTGAATACATCATTAGAATTTTCTCGATTCACTTGCCAATCGGGATCGTTTAAAATTACTTATTCAACATTACTAATGACACTGGATACGCAAATGCAAAATAAATTTTATGTTTAAGTGCGAAACCAGTGGTGCAACGGTTGTGCATGACCTTTAGAATGACCACTGTCCAGCAAATGGTTAATGGGTAACCTTTGAAGTATCTACTAACTTTGTACAAGCAGAATTATATTTTTACAGTTTATGAACGCGATAAAAGACGCAGACTGCTTAAAATTAAAAACAAAACGGTTGTGACAGCTGGTGTTAATTGTAGGAAGAGGTAGGCAAAGTGAGGATGGAGAACGAGCGCCTACAACAAAAACTGCGTAATCTTCAACAGCAACTCGATGCGCTGAAAGAGGAGAAAGCCATCATCGAGCGCAACACCGAGCGCACAGCGCAAGACCACAGTCAAGTCCGTATCGAATCGGAACGCCTGCGACAAAAGGTCGTGGTCTTCGAACAGCAGATTGAAACCCTCCGCAAAGAGAGCGAAAAGTACCATGAGCGCTGCCGCCTCGTGGAGCAGCAGCTGGAGACAGCCAAACGCGAGCAAGTCCAAGCGGTAACCGAAACCGAACGCTGCAAGCAGCGGATGACGCAGCTAGAACAGCAACTGGCGGAAGCCCGTTCCCAAGCTAACCAGATAACGCGGGAATACGAGGCCGCCAAGCAGCGCTACGCGTCGCTGGAGCAGCAGATCGCCAATCTAAAGATTCAGATCTCCGACACCCAGAAGGAGACGGAATACTGGCGAAAGCAGAGCGAAGAGCTGGAGAATCAGTTGCGCAATACCAAGCAGCAGACGACCGCCAGTTCGCAGGAGACGGAAAATTACCGCAGTCGGGTCACCGCTCTCGAACAACAACTGCAACAAGCCCGCGAGCGCACGATTGGATTGGAGACCGAGATGGAATCCTATCGAGAATACTGCACCAAACTGGAAGAACAGATGCAACAAGTGCAGGACGAGGCCGAACAGCTGGCGCGGGATGGGGATATTCTCAGGCAGAAGTGTGCCAGTCTGGAGAAACAAGCCCAACAGAACCATAATGACCGCGGCTCCGCCCAGGCGGAAACCGAACGGGTGAGTGGAATTCCCAGAATAGTACACAGGTTTTCAGAATATTATACCGTAATAATTACCACGTTCCACTGGACCGTAAAAGCGTGAAATTTCGGTACGAGAAGTGTAAGTGCGGCAAATAACACTACTCAGTATGCACTATGCAGTCAGTAACTAACTTTATATGTGATCAGTATCGGTAACGGTTCACAATCAATCCCAGAAAATCTTTTTTAATCAAAACTTTACAAAACTAGGAATTTACGTATTTCTTGTGGGTATAAAAGCTTAGAAAAATTTGGATAGCAGTTCATAGTAGCGGACAACAAACTTATGACTCTATTTTTTGGTGGTCTTATTACAGCTTGTGTAGTTTGTGCAAAAGGTCACTGACCAATCACTATTTCAGTTAAATAAGCGAATGCTGCAGCTGGAACAGCAGTTAGCCTCCACCACCAAAGAACGCGATCAAGCGGCCCGTGAAGCCGAATCCCTACGGAAGATCTGCTCGCAGCAGGATGAGCAGCTCAACCGTACCCGCCAAGAGCAGGACCAGTCCGGATCGGAGGCCAACCGATTGTTTACATTGCTCAAAGAGGCCGAGGAGGAGAAGATGGCCAAAGACCAACAGATCAGCGCACTGCGCCAGGAACTGCAGCAGCTGCAGAGTCAAGCCGAGCAACTGCGGCGTGAACACGATGCCGATAAACGCCGCAGCCAAGAGCTGACGGAGCAACTGAAACGGCAGGCACAACAGCAGTCCGCCGCGCAGATGCAAGGCACGGAGGAAATTGCCACCCGGATGCGCGAGAAGGATGCACAGGTTGCTCAACTGGAAAGGGCGCTCGAGCAGAGTAGCTCCCTTACCATGGAACGCGAGATGATTGTAGCTCAACAACTGGAAAGGCTCCAAGTTGCTGAGGAAAAGGTGCGAGATTGTAATTATTAATCAGCTTTAACTTTTATAAAAAATTTAATATGGTTAATTATATATAAAAATATTGAATACAAACGCTATTGGCATCTAATCTGTTATCTGTACAGCAATGCCTTATTTGACGTCGGGCACCGGCTTCGTTAGTTATATTAAGATTAATTCTTGTTCACTGAGATGGCTGTCAATCTTCGGCCAGTAAAAATTTTTTATCAATGATTTAGGTCCAACAATATGAGCAACAGTTTAAGGAGATTGAGAAAGCGTACAACGAGATTGCTGCGGAGCTGACTCGTCTTCAAACGCAATCAGCCGGCAAGGAAGACCAGATTGCTCGTCTTATGGAAGATAGAATAGAAATGGAAAATGAACTGCAAAGACTCACGTAAATAATTAGACGGGCGCCATATATGCAGCTGTATAAGATCGGTGTTTCTTTGTAGGCAAGACTGTCTTTTGGCGGCTATAAGTGAAAAAATGGCGCATATTGAACTGAAAGAAACTGGACCGAAAAATGTGCGAACTGCCGACGAACTGCGCCAACTGCGCACCGAAAAGGAAAACCTGGAAAGGAGACTATCACAAATGGTATGACCTTTCTATTTGGCTGTCATATATGGAAGTTTATATGAACGATAAGAATTGTGTGCCGTAATAATTGTTAATACTGTTTTGTAATCCGTAGCCTCCTCCTCCTCCCAAAGCAAAGCCTTCCCAATCCCAACCACCCCAAAGAAAGTGAAATTAGTCCTCGCGCTGTTTCTGCGTTTTCCCAAAGCGTTACAGACCTCTCTATGGAAACCAAAGCAATATTTCCGGATCTTTTTTGTGACCATTCCTGATGCTCCGCAGTGTGGCGGACATCTGTGCGGCCTACGGGAAATACCCCACCGGTTGACCGGTGTTCTTGCTTCCATTTTAGGAACGCTAAATTATGAAGAATATTTCTCAACTGTGCTTTTATGATGACCCGGTTTTAGTTTGAAAAAGGAAAATCTAGCTTGGCTTGTTTAAAAAAACTTATTTAACAAATGCGAATGCTCTTTATACACTTCGTTTCCCTTGGTATGCTAAGCTGTTTATACATTCCAGTGAACTTGTACCAAAGATTTTGTCGAAGACTGTATTGAACCGGTGCCTGTTTGTCCTTGCAAGTGGCCGTTGTTGTCATGATTATGCATTTCTGGCGAGTTAAACTTATTGGCCTGGACAGCTATGGTCATTCAGTTACGAGATTTTAGTACAGTACTTACCAAAGTATAAGTACATTAATTATCCAACAACTATTTTCAAGGTCAAATTAAATAATAACAGCGCTTACGAGAAACTTAATAGCGTAAATGAACTGCTTTGATACTTGATAGTATTCCAGGAATACTAAGATAATGAAAGAATTGTCAGACAACAAACTTTTGTTATCCGATAACAAATAAATTAGCATGTAGGTAACCTCCGCGTTTATACACGTGTACGTTTAACATACTGTACTGTAATACTTACTAATGTAATTATTTTTCTGAATTTTTAATTTTAATTTAACGTATCGAATTTTCAACTTTCAATGCTAAATGCAAATCCTTCTACTCAGAAACCATCAAATTCATCAACTTAAAAAATGAAAAATCTTTAAACGAGTACAAAACGTGGAAAAAGTTCACTATTGTTACGAAAAAAGAAGTCCATAAACACTAACAAGTTACCCGGTGCTATAAAATTAAATGTTTGCTGTGGAGTACAGTTGGGGATTCCACACTGAAATATGCAATTTGAACGCTAAAACAGTTGGCGATACTGCTGGTCACAGCCTTCCGGTCAGCGGCACGTTTCAGCGACGCGATAGCCCATCTTCCTATGGAAGTAACCCAGACAGACCTCTACAGTGACCAGTGATGCGGTGGTGAGTTGGGTTTCCATGCAAAATTAATCCGGTTCTCATGCCATACAGTTTGGTCATCTCCGCAATCTATTAGTTCCGTAATCTGTCCTTTTGACGAAATAATTATTATTTTTCGTCGCAAGTTTCTATTTCGCAGTGATCGCAAGCAAAGGCAAGACGCCTTTTTTGTCGGCTTGCTGAAGTTATGTACAGTGCTTATATGCGTAACTTTACCTATACGCGTCACTTTTGTGTGGGTTGCACTAAAAGGACCCTTCCGTTTACTAGAGACATCCCTTTTTACAGTAATTACAAATGAATCAGAGCATGCCGCCGGATCGTGTGACCATTGCGCCACACTGCATCTGAGACAAGGAGGAGCGTATTACGAGGGAGGCGATTATGTTGTCACCCCATAGAGTGCGTGTTAGTGAGACACCTTGCTTCCTTTAAAGCTTCGACAATCAAAGCATGATGTTTTTTGCTCTGACTAACTATAATATTAACATTATTTATTATGATAAGAAGGCCGAAGGTAATCAATTTAGCAAAAAATTGGACTGCCTAGTTAGCTAAAGCAGAGATATTGTATATATGCTATTTACCGGTCATTTATGAAACTGGCTGGAGAATATTTCATGCATCTACACTCTACAGCAACCAAAAATGGGAAAATTTGCATTTGTGGAATCTTATCTTTGCAGCAAGCACATGGCCAAACGTTCGTTTTACAGCTGGTTAAATGTGAAGCGTGACCGGTAGGGAGCCTTTGTAAGGTCTCCTCTGGTGTGGCAGCTGTCAGGCATTGTAATTGTGATATGACCGACAATATTGCTCACAGTAAAAAATCAGAATACTAATGTGTCGCCACTTTCGACCGCAATATTTTATGCGCCCATTCCACTAATATACAGCGTCAGATATTTCCCGCTTTATTGTTTGAAAACTGTAACCGTATTGCAAACAAATTTCACCTGTGGAACTGCCCGCACTAAGCGAAACGTCCATACAGTATACATGTAAAAAGCTTCCTACAGCAACGTTGAACATGAGGTCGTTCCGGTAGAACCCGGCCATCGTGTGGGTTCTACCGGAACGCATATAGCTAATATTCTGTTTCTCAAATTCAACATTCCTAATATATACTTGACTAGTGACTACCCTGTTGATAACGAAAGAGCAAGTCTATTTCTTTTTAAACTAGTCAATTGCGGCTGCTAGCGATGCCGATATTGTTGTTGGACTTAATTAACTTTGGTTTGCTGTACCAGCAAAGTACCAGACACCCTTTTCTGCCGGCTAGAGATAACCTTTAAATTTGCAATGGACTACAGTAACTGAAAGACATTTTTGCTATTATTCACCGAGTGTACATGGCACGGCATTGCACCTAATCAGTTACAGATTCGCACCAAGGAGGAAGAAATCGTTGTGATGCTTGTCTTGGCCAACGACGTTGTGCATCTGAGAGAAGACTACATGCTGGATCGAGAAAAACAGTTAAATTATATGTATCAAGAAATTACGTATGGGAAGTGTTCTTGGCCGCCTTGATTTACTGAAGTAAAAGTGTAAAACCACAGGAATAGCGAAATACCAAAGCTGCATGCAGTAGTATGCGAAGTGTCAAACATTCTTATAATAAAGCAGCACACTTTAGTACTGTAACTGCAATTTATATCCAGTTTTTACTTTTATTTGTGCGCAAGGTCAACCTACAGTATACAGGTAATTAAATGTCGTAAAAACGAAATAAACACCGAAAGGTCACATTTAGGATGCGAACAATGAATTAATTGTGCTGATATCATCATCAGACAATAAGTTTACGAGTACAGTATATCTACTTTCAGAGAATTATCGTTTACTTGGTTTAATAAAAATAACTCCAATATATGTCATGTATGTTCACATAAAATTCTGGCAAATACTTTATGCTAAAGATCAAAATTCAACAGGTTGCGGCACATCGGCTCATTGGCGAATTATAGTGTCTATAAGCTTTTTGGAAATGAAAAATAGTGTTGCCGGCTTTCAACTGGAAGGGTCCCAAGGAAGATTCGCGTAGAAACAGATCTTTTGGCTGATGAGCACAGAAACTGGCCCGCTTGGCCGATTTGCGATTCCAGCGTGCATCTTGCCCGGCACAGCGCAGCTTCTGCCAAGTTTTGATCTCTTTCCAAATTCCCATAGAATACAATCCATACACATACGGATCAACGACGCAGCTAAACACTCCAAAAATAAACAGAATCTCTTGCAGCAAAGGATTGATTTCAGCGGCCGAGTCACGTGCCACAAAAAACCATATGTGGATGATTTGGTAGGGCGACCAGCAGGCAATGAATATCAGGACGACCAGTGCTACAAAGTAAGTCTTTATTGATTTCCGAATTATTAAAGTAAATTTTTATTACATGCTGACTAAAATGTTAATGCATGATGGTACTATTTACACTCCCGTTACACCTGCAGTAATCGAATTTCAGCCGCATGCACTTATTTGCAGTCGCATTCACTGCGTTATGTTTACCGGTCATCCGTAGAGTGCGTGATTTAGCTTTGGATAAAAAATCTCCATGAGGATTAATCAAAATTTGCTTGAAATCCGCCGAATTGCGATCCCGGGTTAAATCTTGTGACACGGGTGTTGTGCAAGAAAGCCGTTCGCTTGATCCAGCTGTAAGAAGAAATTAATTTATAGGCGCTGTTAGTAATAGTGGTTTCTTATTCTCTTTCATAACAACAACATCGGAATACGAAGCACTATTAGTTCCTTAAATCGGCGTTTAGGGACGCTGCTAGAAATGACGGTTGCTGAGCTGGAAAATACAGCAAAATACTGAAGCAACGGAAAAACGGAATAAAATTAATAATGCTACCTTTCTTGCGAACATTTGTATGCAATCGAGTACTAACAATAAATGTCCGGCATCTACGGTAAATACTCTTGGTGATAACACAGTACTCTGTTTTGTTCGTTTTGCATTTAGCGTCAACGGGCTCCGTACTTTGTACTTGTATCTACTTCGGCACATTTACAATGCAGTGTTAGTGTTATAGCTAATTAAAAACGGGGATGTTTTGCTGGCATTTTAAATGATATCCGGAATCAAAAACTCCGGTTACTTTAATTTAGGATTCTGATTCTGACCCTCCCATATTCGCTTATAGGAGTTTTCCGTATGCAAATTGATCATTCGAAAATTCACGCAGCGAGCATGTGTCATCTGATAAACATCGGCATGAAAGATTCATTGTGGAGACTATTCTGGATGAAAATGGGTGGTTCCTTAATGTGCATTTCCAAGGACAAACTGCGCAGCGATCGGCAGATGTATACATATCCGTTTACAAATACACTGAGCACTGTTTTCGGATCCTTGCGTAAAACTGTTCGGACGAACATGAACTGCGCATATCAAGAGTATAGTCTAACTATGCAAAATGACGTAAGCCGGGCGAAAAGTTCAAAATAGGATGGCGACCTATTTTAACTGCAATGACAAAGTACATCTTTTTTCCTTGTCACAAAGTGAGAATTGATATACACTATTTTTCTTACATTTATAAACTCACAAAAGGAACAAACTGTTCAGCTGGAGACACGAACGACTACTATCTATTTCTGAATAATTTGAAATACTAGACATGATATAAGTAGTTTACTATTTTGTAGAAATGTACAATATAATAATATTATGTACAATATTAATATCTGTAGGCAGGCGGATATTTCCTGTTATACCAGCGTCAATATTGATTCCCGTGTGCGGCGTGTGGGTGCAGTATATTACGGCGGGAATCCGATTTGCTGCTGACGTTCATAGTTACACAGGATACCACAAATATTTTCACGCGGCAGTTGGTAGTCCGCGCCATGTGATACCTTAACAGTCAATCACTGCATAAAATAAGCAAATAATGTGGAGAGCGGCGTATGACCCTCGAAAGATACTTCAAAAAAATTGCATCCCTTCCGTGCGATTGCAGACAGGCGCAACCTGCTGCCGGCTAATAATGTTTTGATACAATTACATCCGTATTTGGTCTAAAATTTTTGCCGGTAATTTTTTTCTACTGTATGTTTTGCTTGGATTTTACGTGCACCATTTGAAAATATCTGGCGTCCCGGAGAAAACCGGGACTGATGAAAAATGGTTGTAATCGAACGAAATGGGAAAACATCCCAGTTGCAAATGACTGTATGGCACTAATGACACTTACCAATCTGGCGGAGAAAAAAGTGCAGTAGCTAACCTAGTTGCTCCTATAGTGTCCGACGGACGACAATTTGCAATTCGATCGCTCGCAATCATTATTACAG